GAGAGACAGAGAGTCAGAAACATCGATGAGAGAGAAACACCTATCAGCTGCCTCCTGCACATCTCCTACTGGGGATGTGCCCGCAACCCTGGTACATGCCCTTCACCGAAATCAAACCCCGGGACCCTTCAGCCACAGGCCGACGCTCTACCCACCGAGCCACACCAGCTTCGGCCGTCAGGATGGCGTTGACGTGGGCCCGGGGCCTCGCCGTGTCTCTGATGCCTCCGCTTCCCTTTCAGACGCAGGAGTCCCTGAACCCCAACCACCTGGAGTACTGGATGGAGGACATTTACACGCCCGGCTACGACTCGCTGCTGAAGCGCAAGGAGGCCGAGTCCCGCAGGGCCCGGGCCTGCAAGCTCGCGGCGCTGGTGGCGGCGGCCGCCTGCATGGTCATCCTGGTCATCGTGGTGCCCCTGTGCACGATGAAGTCCTGAGCGGGCCCCCCACGCCCCCCTCCGCAGGCTGACACCGCGTGGCGCCAGGCGGCGGGAGGCTGAGACGGAGACGGGACCCGGACCCTCCCCCCCAGGGGCCGTCGAGGGTCCTCGGACGTCCCCTGCCTGGGAGCCCCGACGGCCTGACATCAGATACGCTTTTTAAAAAAATTTTCTTTTATCCTCTCTCCCGAGGATATTGTCCCATTGATTTGTAGGGAGAGTGGGAGGGAGGGGGAGAGGCAGAGAGAAACATCGATGGGGGAGAGACACATCGATGGGTTGCCTCCTGCACGCGCCCTGACCAGGGCCCGGGCCGGGGAGGAGCCTGCCACCAAGGTCCATGCCCTTGACCGGAATCGAACCCGGGACCCTTGGGTCTGCAGGCTGGCGCTCTATCCACTGAGCCACACCGGCCGGGGCTTGGATGCGTGTTTTAGACGTGCAACAGGGTTTCCTACGGAACGAATGGAATGAACAGCCAGCGATACAAATGGAATGATAAGCAAAAAAAAAAGGCGGAACATGGATTCGATTCTTTCCGATTCCGTGGCGTTTCCTGGTGGGGACGCTGAACGCCTGCGCTCGGGGGGAAGTGAGGGAGCAGAGCGAGGAGCGAGGGGCGCTCTGCTGTCCCCCGCGCCCTAGAGGCCTGCAGGGAGGCCACAGGGAGTGTCCACAGGGCAGGTCCCTTCTCGGCTGACTTTCATCAAGGGCTACGACACTCCCTCCCGCCCTCCCGGGGCCACCATGGAGTTCACAGCGGATCTTTCCCGGGAACCTCGGGCCTCGCCCTCGTGCCCACGGCGGGAAGGAGCCGATGGCCCCACGGGGTGTGGCACGCACGAAGCGCCCTCCTCTCTGCTCCCAGGCCAGGGGACAGGCCAGGCCATGCAGGCCGACACCTTCCTGTGCCCGCCTCACGGGGGGTGGGGGGGGCTGCTCTCAGACAGTGGGGGGCCCACGTGTGGAAATCGTGGCCCCTCCCCCCCCACCCCGGGGTCCCCTGTTCCTGCTGGGCTGTGGGGCTCCGCTCCCCGATTTACACTCTTGTTCGGGAGTGAGGGGTTCAGGCCTTGTCCTTGTGCCTTGAAGGGTAGAGACGATGGCGAGACCTCGACACCTCGAAACCTCGACGTTCTGGCCGTCAGCCGAGGCCTCCGCGCACCGTGTCCAGGGGCTTTGCAAGCGTTTGTCGATGGAGACGCTGGGCTGTTCTCAGCGCCCCCAGCACCCGGTCCGGGGTTCTGAACACGGGCCGCGTGCCAACGGTAACCGCTTCGTAGCTGCGTAGCCGTCGATCTCTCTCTGTCGGCCTCAGTACAACTTGGGGTTCGTCGTCTTCTCTGTCGGGTACTGGCAGCCGCTGCGGTTTTGCGGGGTCGTGGCCTCCGTTCCCACGGGCGACGGAGCGGGCTCGGCCACCCCGGGCAGAGAGCACCCCTCGCAGCGTTCGCCCCCCGACGTCGTGTTGCAGGCGCAAGCCCGTGCTGGACGGGAACCGGCTGCCCCATCATCACTAAAGCTCCCGGAGAAGATGCCTTCGGGGCACCCGTCCGGGTCTGGGGTTTTCTCTGTGGCGACCGAGACGGGAGCCTGAGACGGAGCCTGAGGACGTATCGCACAATCTATCGGCCGCTCTCTGTCGCCGGAAGTTTAGGCGTTTGGTGCCCCGTATGGGGTCGGGCACATTAAATGAGGTTGTTGTTGGCTTTTTGTTTTGTTTTTCACCCCAAAGGGGAAGTGGTTGGGCCCTGGGGGGCGGGAGCTGCCATCTGCTGCCCCCCGGCCAGCTCTCTCCCGTGTCCCCGCCCCTCCATCGTCCCCGCACCACCAACGAGACCCCTGAATGTCAGAGGCGGGCAGTGCCACCCTCTTGCTCCATGACCTGCGGGGATGAGAGAAATCTCGTCAAATCCCAACTGGACGCCTCACCTGCCGGTCGGATCACGGGGGAGACTTCCCCGTGCGCCCCGTCTGGCCAGGGGCCTGGCGACCCAGGGCGGGCGTGACCCTGCACCCTGGCCCATGACGTGTGGGGGCGAAGGGACCCCGTGGGATTCTCTTCTACCCTTTGGGGATCTGGGAGGCCATCGGAGCTACAGGGTTTTGCTCCAAGCCCAGGAGAGCAGCGGTTCTCAACCTTCTGGCCCTTTAAATACAGCTCCCCATATTGTGGTGACCCCCAACCATAGCATTATTTTTGTTGCTACTGCATCACTGTCATGTTGCTACTGTGATGAATCGTCATGTAAATATCTGATATGCAGGATGGTCTCAGGCGACCCCCGTGAAAGGGTCGTTGGACCGCCAAAGGGGTCGTGACTCACAGGTTGAGAACCACTGCAATAGAGCTTTTTTAAACCATGGGCAGTGCCTAAGGAAGGATGAATGGGGCTCGGTGGTCAGAGATGCTCCCGGTTTTGGCAAAATTTTATTTTCTAAATCCTCACAGGAGGGTATTTTTCCCCCCATTAATTTCTAGAGAGAGTGGGAGGGAGGGAGGAGGAAGAGGAGGAGAGAGAGAGAAACATCGATGTGAGAGAGACACATCCATGGGTCGCCTCTCGCACCTGCCCCGACCAGGGCTGGGGAACCTGCAGCCGACGACATACGTGCCCGTGACCGGGAATCGAACCCGAGACCCTGTGGTCCGTGGGCTGGTGCGCTAGCCACTGAACCACTGGCCAGGGTCAGTATAGCTTTTTTTTTTCTTCTTTTTTTTTTTAAAATATATTGATTTTTTACAGAGAGGAAGGGAGAGAGATAGAGAGTTAGAAACATCGATGAGAGAGAAACATCGATCAGCTGCCTCCTGCACACTCCCTACTGGGGATGTGCCCGCAACCCAGGTCCATGCCCTTGACCGGAATCGAACCCGGGACCCTTCAGTCCGCAGGCCGACGCGCTATCCACTGAGCAACACTGGCCAGGGCTATTCTTATTTTTTATTACATTTGTATTGATGTCAGACAGGAA